AACATCTGTGGTGATCAAGAGAGCAGATCATAACAACCATAATAGCTTGGTGAATAGCAGTCCTTGGTATTGATGTGTGGAATGGAGGCTTCTTGTCCACGGGCCAGGACCATGCGCTGCATCAGTGGCTGAACCAAGTCCTCCCAGATCCCCATCTAGGTGCCAAAACTCAGCAACTTCTTCAGGGTGAAACTGGAGCTATTGAAGGGTTGTGGCAGTCCTCTCAAACGTGTGCTGAGGTTTGAGGCCATCTAAGAGCCCCAAAGCCCCTTGGTTGCCTGAGCAGACCCCAGGTTAGGTCTGGGGCACTCCGTGGTTCCAAGCAGACTGTTTTTCTTCCCTGGGGGTCCTTGTTAAAGTCTTCACATCTTGTAGATCGTTGGGAGGAAGGTGTTGCCATGCACTATCTTAGACATTCTTAACCCACATAATACCTGAACCACAAGGATTTAAAACACAGGGAGACAGAAGTTTTAATACTATGTCTCAATCACAATCAAAATGTCTTTGATGAGGAAAGAGGTCATTTAATTTATCCTACAACCCCCCCCTTTTGTGTCCCGCGCCGCAAACAAAGCGAGAGGTGACACAACATAATTTTGATTATGACCGATGACGAAACGTTCACTGTCCAAGTTCTTTACGGGGCAGAGCACTCAGCAATGTTGCGGCGGTGGAATTTTCCTACTGGGGGGCTATAATTTAATGACTGATAAATACCCAGCAGGTAGGGATGCGTTCTGATCCCTACCCTGTACATTCAGCAGCTGGGATGATATATTTAGCTTCCCAAACATAGCTATTTGAGGGCATTTTGCATGTGGATACCAGTCCTGCTCATGCTTCTTTGCCCTTTTTCTAAAAAGTGCTTCAGATCAGTCATACCTGTCTGATCCATGCTGGGTCAGATCTATGGTTGAAAACAAGAGGCATGGAAAGCAAAATAAAGCAGTAGCCTCGCTACAGGCGGCTAGGGCCAAGATTTGGCGCCTGAACCAGGATCCGGGAAAAATACGAGTGTACCGTCTCCCCCTGTCGCTGGAAACTGCTGACTAATGGAAATATTTGCTGATCAGGTCCAAGCTCTTTACCTCAACTCCCTGTATGAGCTTCTCTCAAACGTATTTGTTTTGAGTGATCTAACTGGAATTATTCTGTTATTCTCTCTCCATTTTTGCGTCTCGTTACGTTCGTCTCAACTCCCAAGCTTGACCCTGGCAATCACTGTAAACGGACGACACAGACAGTGACAAGTACAGGGTCGCGGCGATCCCGCACCCTCCAGGGCGCACTTCTCCTGCGCCCCCAAATCGTCTTATCTCATGCATTGAAGAGAGCAACGGCGCAGGTCCAACTTTTACGAAGTCCATGACGGCTCAGGCGCAATCGTGTTTGCCCCCTGAGGCGAAAGACGTCCACCAGTCCGAAACAGAACAACGTTGAATGAGCTGACTCCATCCAACTCAGCATAAACTATAAAGTATTATCTTCCACATCTGAAAATAAAATAACACACATAAATTTTCGAATATTTTAATGTTTTATTTTTTTTAACGTTTTATCCAAGTAACATGGCAGTTGTGAGTGGTGGGCGAGTGCCCGAAGCGCCCACATTGGCCGGCCGCACTGGCTCTCATATGAGAGCGGAGTATCTCAGGTAATATTCTCCTACAGTTTATTTATGAACAAAAGGTGAACAAGATTTGCCATGAGACAATACAAACAGATCTTGTTATAAAATTCACTCCATTCAAGTTACTTTTTCAGCGTAGGATGGGACAATGCTAACCTGCTTCGCTCAAGGCACCCATAGGAAAGTGCTCAGGATGAAGTTTGGCTCCAACTCTCTCGGCTCCTACAGTGTTAAGCCCTATTCGCATAGGATTAGTATCTCGGGTAATTTATGACAAATCTCAATGCGCCTGACTGTAATTATGTAAAGTATAATATTTCAGCTCAAATTCCTCCTGTATTTGTCACAGACGCCCAGTGAAATTACTACTCCAGTAAAGAATCAGCAATGCAGTGATTGTGAGCGCTATTGCCAACGCAGGTGTGCGGGAAAAATATAGGTCATTTACAGACATTTTACTTATCAAGGTGAACGCGCTGCAAGTATCACAGAGGTGGGGCGGTAATTTTTTGGACAACGACCACAGGTTATACTAATCCCTGCAAATAGGACTTTACATAAAAAGCACTCTATCTCGGTAAACATTTGTGGTCACAATCACCTTTTTTTTGGCTTAAGAATCTGTGGGTTATCGCGCCCTGGGTTTTAGATTTGTCTTTGGAATCCAAATCCTGAGCAATATAAGGATATGGCTAAAAACTGTGGGGGAAACTCCAGCATGCCTTAGCAACCGTCGTAGCAAAAAAAAACACCCCAAAAACACTCTGCCAGTGACGGGCGCTAAGCATGAACGTCGAAACAAATGCCAAATAAGGAAAATAGCTCCACGTAGCTATCTTCAAATGCCCTCCCGCCACCTTCGGCATAACAACGTCCAAACTATGTTCGCTGGACAACTGCGGCCCTCTACGTCATGTTTTGTGGGTCCTCTTACTTGCTAACGAGCCATTTAAGATAACAACTTCACCAGTGTCCAACCAGCCAACTTCTGCTCCAAGTCTTTATCAGATTGTTTTTTACAAGGGGACATTTCTGTGAACTAAAGAGACCTCTTATTTTAACAGTTTGTTCCATCGCGGGCGGACACTATGGTGATGTCACACACGCTTCTGTTCATTGGTTGCTACATAGAATACTGCATTTAGAATGTTGTGTGAGTTTTAGTGCATTAACACACTTTTTTATTACACCAAATAACTCATAAATGTGTGTTTTGAGAATGCCACAACTGGTGCGACCTGTGTTATTTTAAGTATTCACCTTATTCATCCAGGTTTGAAAAGTCTTGAAAAAGTTTGTTGTTGTATGCTTCACTTAATAGGTGAGAGAAATATTGGTGATAAAAGTAGAAGCAAGGATGTGGAGGACAGATACAAGGTGAACCAGAGCAAAAAAAGTTATAAGTAATAAAATTAATAATAATAACACATTTTTAATTAGGTCCCCCCGGAAGACCAAGGACACGCGAGAGACTATGTCTCTAGCTGGCCTGGAACATCCGCCCTGGGGTCCCCGGATAGCTGGAGGAAGTGTGATTGTGAAAAGGGAAGTCGGGTGTCTCTGCCCTTAACTGCTGCCCCCCGCGACCCGGCAACGGATAAAGCGGAAGAAATGGATGGATGGAAATGATGGCATTTTAGTTATAATGCACTTTACTTTTGACACCAAATCTCAAAGTGCTACAAACAGCAGCATAAATAAAAGCAAACACATAAAATCAATAAAAAGACACACATAAAAAATTAGCAGACGCTTTTAGTTAAAAGATGGTTTTAATCCTTTTATTGTAAAAGCTTCCTACCGTCTGTGGGCCCTGATGGTGGTCCGGGAGGGCGTTCCACAGACGGGGAGCCAGCGGCCTCGAAGGCCCGTCCCCCATTTTCTTGAGCCGTTCCTGGCCGGGAGCAACTGTGCTGGTGGCCCTGACCGGGTTCTGCATGAGGAGTGTAGGATGAGAGGTCCAGTGAGGTAGGCAATCCACCGGGGGGGGAACAGTGGTGGGGTGTCAGGAGGATCTTGGTATTCTATACGGGAGTGATCGGGGAGCCAGGAGTGTGTGAAGATGGGGGTGATGTGCTCATGCTTCCGCACCCTCATCAGACCCTGGCCCACCTGTTTTGTACGTACTGGAGCTTTTTGAAGGCTCCTGCCAGGGATCCCGATGAGGAGTGCGTTGCAGTAGACCAACCTGGGCGGAGACAAATGGCAAGGACGACGTTCGCTGCAGCCGGAGAGAGAGAAATATAAGGTAGTTATGGTGACTTAAAAATCAAAATGGTGCATTTTTGTATTTGCTTTAGCAAACACCTTGGGCTCATAATATATATTTAGTAATTTAAAATTGCAATATTGGTCTATTCATGAAGTCATTTAAGTTTCTATAGATAATACTAATAATAAGAATGCAATTAAAAAATTATGGATTTAATTAAGTATTTATTTAAAAAGCCCTCCAGGCTCCGTTCAGACCGCGTTCCAAGTTTAGCAGTTGATTTAATAGATTTTCAAGCTATTATTGATTTTAATTTAAAATATGTAAACTATTTTAGGCGCAAGACTTTATAGTCCTAAATCAATGCAGAAGTCGTCCTCGAAAATAGAAAGTTGTCGGGATTCCTTCACAAAACAAGCCCAAAGGCAAAAGAACCATGACGAAAGTGCAAAGATACACAAAAATCTATATATGATCATACTAATTGTTCAAACTTACATAAAAAGCTCCTAATAAACAGAGATAAAGGAAAGAACTACCTCCAGGCGTCAGAGTCCGGGTTGTACATCTCCACCGAGTCCACATTTATGTTGATCCTTTTATCTCCCCCGATTGCAAACAGTCGTCCTTCAATTTGCAATTAGAGAAAAATTACTTCTAAACTCGTTCATGTCAGAAAGTCTCCTCCAGCTGTTTAGCCCAGGGTCGTATCTGGAACAAATTACATTTCAATATGACAAGTTGCTCATACTAAAGTGTATTGCTGAATAACATACTTCAAAAGGTAAATAACCTAGAAGAGTGGTCTAACCGAGTGCAGAAAACCATTTGAGCCAAATTAAGATCCTTTATTTGTCCTACATTGGGCAAATTTCAGTGTTGCATCCCAAGATAAAGAGCAGTTGCAATGAGGAGCACACAACACAAAGATAAGTGAGTGTTGTTGTGATTTTGGTTCATGCAGAAAAATCAAGGCATAAAGTTCCGGACAGAAAAGATCAGACAGAGTCAACAGAGTGTTCTTATGAGGGAGACGGGAAGGTTATATACAAATGGTAATCTCAATAGCTTAACTTTACTGCATACAGCTTCTATGGGAGCGACCCCCCCAAAACCCAAAAAACATTATGAGATTTGCGCAAGTAGCTGATGGATTTACCTGTACGCTGATTTCATGATGTCATCTTTAGTGTAGAAGTAGCAACCACCAATCACGTAGAGTCCTCCTTCCAAAACCGCAACGCCATGTCTGAACTTTGGCTGGTCCGGGATCTCACCCAATTTTCTCCATTCAATGTTTTTAACCAACCCTGTGCCACTACGGAGACAATTGGCAAACCACACTTCTCTGCTAGGAATCCGCTGCCCCATATCCGGATATAGCTGGTCCCCTCCCACTATTACCAACGCATTTTTTGGCTTTCGAACCCTGCATTTTGTTTCGGTGTCCAGATTTCCAAATTCTTTAAAAGCCGAGCTATACAATTCAACTTCTTCACCATATTCGCCGCACTCCATTCGCAAGTTGATTGCGCGGACTTCACGAAACTCCCTGAAAGTCATCAAAGGAAAACGAACAGAAGACATAAGTAAGCTAGCTTGATTCAGTCTAACCTCTGAGTCAGCTTCGATCCACGAAATCGCCGCCCTGAATACGGCTAGCTCTGACGGCGCGCACAAACCATCGTTTTTTAGAAAGTCTGCAAGTTTTTCTGCAGGAAGATCGAGAAATTTTGCTGTTTCAGACACCTGCCAAAAATTCCGTAAGACAAAATCGTTAGCCTCGTCGAGTAGCTCTGTCATCTCGTAAGCTTCGGCAAACGATATAACATCCAAACAGGAGTAAGAATCCATTTGTTCGAGCATGAATTTGAAGCATAATGGCAAAACGTGGGAAAATTGAAGTTGGAGGGAAGTACACGTGATTTCAAAGACACAATCCCAGTTTAGGTGAAGATGTCCGGTGTAGGAACATTCAATGAGGGCTTGAAGTTCCGGAGCAAAAAGGAAAGGCAGAGTGATGTTACTTTGACTGGATTCCTTCATTCCACTGGTAAACATCCCACGGAAAAAATCACTGCAGGCGGCCAAGATCACTTTGTGCACTAGAACAACAGAAATGAAAGTCAACGTCACAATAGTGCAGTGTGCGACCTTTCCTAAACACTATTGATTTTGTCATGCATGGGAACAACTTGCTAGGTCTAGTTCACACACGTTTCCTCGGCTCCTAGTCAAAGGAAATTTTGTTTTGATTGCTATGTACTTCAACCAGTGGGGACGGGTCCCGGCTCAAAAGTCGCCAAATTGTTGTGCGCTGACATACTTGCAATACCACCCCGGGCCGATGGGGGGTGGACCCGGAATAAGAATTAGCCAATGCTAACATAGCATCTTATTACCTCTCAAAAACGTCTTTACAGGATGAGTTTGTGTAAGCCCTCAGTCGTACAGGGATTAGTCACAGCCTCAGCAGGGTCGTTCGACCTGCTCCCTTCTACATCAAACAGACCTTAGATTGTTTATGAGTTAGTATCAAGATTAGGGTGTGGCTATACATGTGGTTATAAATCTCCAACGCGTGGTCTGAGAATTCATTCCCTGAAGAAGTCCTTTGGATTGAGGACGAAACATCGGGAAAACTTGCTAAGAAGTACAGATGATGGGTGAGAAACCTTCCTTTGCTTTGACTAATCCCTGTACGACTGAGGGCTTACACAAACTCACTCCATGAAAGCACAATTTTTGGCCCATTAGAACTGTGATGGCAAGCGACTAGTATTCATATCTCCCTGCTCCAGGAAGGAGCAACTCTGCCTGGTTCTATTCATATGCCCCTGCTTCAGGAAGGAACCGGGCCCCCCGACACCTACAGACAATGGCGTAAATCACTGTCTCACTCTCGCCCCCCTCTCGCCTCTTGCATATCTATCGGTCTGTATGTGTGCCTTTTCTACCATTGTCTGTCTGTTCACACCTATATCCCCAGACGGCGCCAACGCTCCCCAGGCGCCTCCTCACCGGTGGCCCCCCTCCCATTCTGTTGTGGGCGGGACTGTCTTTCGTGTGTGTCTGTATACAGGAAACTCGGAGCTCTGCTTCAGAGCTAGTACATGCTGCCTTCGTGTCTGTATGTGCTGACTCTCCGTGCGCATGTTAACAATAAACTTACGCTTTTGATAAGACAAAGACCTTTGAGTTTTCTCCTTCATTGGGTAGAAACTTCCTTAACAATTTGGCGTTGCTGACACGTTCTTGTTGGATTTTTTTTTTCGGCGTGGAGACGACTCGTGTTGTTTTGGCCAGACCTGGGACAAAGGACCAGCCTCCTACCTCACTTAGTGTTTGACGAGAAGCAGGAGGGACACGGCTCGGCTCGCGCTGGAAAAACTATTCGACTACAGGACCATAAAAGAACCTAATCTGGTGAGTTTTTGTCTTTTCATCTGCGTAACGAGCCCAGGGCAGCCCTTAAGTCGACACGGGGATTTGTTTATTTACGTATTTTTGGGGTATTTCATTCATTGCCACAGCATAGTCTGTGTGCGGGATTTGTATTGTGTTCTAGATTGAAACTAGCGGCTGCGTGGTAGTAAATCGCTCTGTAAGCGACCCTGAAAATTTCTCTGAGTGCCTTCAGCCAGGCCCGGTTTGTTCTAAGAACGCGCGCTCGTTGGTTGAACCAGCGAGGGGGGAACGAACCGCCCAAAGCGAGTACAGAGCAGGGAAGAGACTACACGGGTTAGGTCCATTGTTCCATACGTGAAAATGGGGAAAAATCAATCTAGAGATGCCACGCCGCGGGGAATGTTGACGTCCCCCGTTACTATGGCTATGGAAAAACGATTCGGAGCTAAAGCTAATGAATGCTTGCCTATATGGTGTAGTTCATTCGGTTTTCCCGACGGAGGGAGCATGTCTCTAAATCAATTACGCATTTTGCGTGATAATTTAGAAGAAGAAAAGGAAAAAATACTTGGTTTTAAGAAAATTACAGCAGAAGATGTTAGGGCTATACTGAAACACCAGACCTGTCTTGCCATGTGGGAGGATTTAGCTACAGAACGGGACCGCAAAAAGACCAATAAAGCCATAGCTGCTCCACCTTCCACGGAAGGGGGGGACGCACGGGCAGGCACACAGGCAGACACACACACACACACACATCCCCCACACCCCCCACCATACCGCCCCTTCTCACCTACTAACCCATTCACAGAAGGAGCAGAACTCCATGCTAAGTACGCGCCCAAGCAGAGCGCTGTTTTAAAAAATGTACAGACTACTGTTGTCCCCTCTCTCTCCCTCTACCCAGATTTGTCTACGCTTTCCTCCGTGGCCCCGCTGTATGAAACCGGCCCCTGTCCTCCCGAAACACCGCCGCGCCAGAGCCAACCACGTCAGTGCCTCCCAAAGCCTCTCGCATCTGCTGACGCCCCACAGGAAGTGGCCCCCGCGCTGTCGACAGCAGAAGAAGAAGCACCAGAAGCAGAGCCGCGATGGAGCAGGGCAACGCTCCGGCGGGAACCGAGGCCCACAAATCACTTCACCGCCACTTTCCCCATGATAGAGATGGTGGGCCGAGAAGGACCGGCGCTGGTTTTCAGACCCTGGGGGCCGAGCGAGTTTCTATCCGCTTCACAACTGCTATCTACACGGCCAGAGACAAACTGCTCTAAATTCTGCGAAGACCTGCTCGCTTTCTGTCGCGAATACAAGCCCTCAGGAGCGGAGTGCGCTCGGGTTCTCGTTTACAAGATGTCGCCTGCGGACTTTGGGAAATTCAAGCCATATTTGCCAGAGCCAGGACTACGGGCTAAAGACATTGTGGAGTCAGACTCCGGAGCATATTTGACTGCCATAAAGAAAATGTGTGACGGGCTAGCAGCAGTTTTCCCACGCAAATACGACCTAACCATCCTGTCTAAATGCAAGCAGGAAAAAGGCGAAAGGGTCGAGGAGTACTATAGCCGCCTGCTGTCTGTGTTCAATGAGCACTCTGGTGTACCCCCGAAGCTCCCAGCTGCAACGGACGGGGAGGAGAAGGACAATCCCGTTTACAACGGTTATTTATGCTCCAGATTTGTCGAAGGACTTTTACCAGAGGTGGCTTTAAAGGTGCGGGACTCGTATGTCGCATTTGATGACGGACCACAGATAAAGGAATTACTTATGCACGCGAAACATGCAATTTTTTGTTTGGAAACATTGAAAAGCCAGGCTACACTGCTGTCGGTCCAAACCCCGAACTCCGTAAACCCCAATGACATTTCCAAAAAGGACAAAAAGGGATGGGAGAAAAACAACGGAACGTGGACATGCTGGAACTGTGGAAAAGTTGGCCACAGGGCAAGAGACTGTCGCAGGCGGCGGCAGGGCGGCCAGCAGCAGGGCGGCCAGCAGTACCAGTACCAGCAGCAGAGCGGCCAGTGGCAGCCGCGGCAGGGCGGCCAGCAGCAGGGCGGCCAGCAGTACCAGTACCAGCAGCAGAGCGGCCAGTGGCAGCCGCGGCAGGGCGGCCAGCAGCAATGGCAGCAGAACCAGAACCGCGAGCCGGACCAGTACCAGCAGCAACACCACTGGCACCAGGCACAACAGCACCGCTATGAAGGCCCACAACACGGCAACCACCAGATGCGTCACGAGGCGGACTGACTAGGCGGGGACAGACAGCGGGCTGGCGGTGAACACGGCGGAGCCACGAAAGAAACCGTACGGGAGACTCATCTACCGGGTAACGCACACATACACGTCACCGAAGCGATCACTCATCTTTCACGTAAGTTTGAACCAACTGCAATCGGCACGTACACATTTTTTGAGAAAATTCATGCTAAATTCCCAGAACATACGCTAACAATCTGTGGCGAAAATGTTACTTTTCTAGTTGATTCCGGGGCAACAAACTCTGTCCTAAAAAGTGACAGCCTTTCTGTCTCCCCTAAAATGAGTGGTCGCTTCACATTCTCACTAGCAGCGTCGGGAGAGACGACCAAAGAGCAATTTACGTCACCGCTAACGTGTTTTGATTCTCAGGGCAACCAGCTTAAACATTCTTTTCTATATTCCCCATTGTGCCCGGTTAATCTACTAGGCCGAGACCTTATGTGCAGACTCAATTTAAATCTGCTCTCAACACCAAGCGGCCTACGGGTGGTACACGCTAGGGAGCTAGCAAATGCTCCATGTTTCACCGGCATGCATGAGGAGACACCGGTCCCAAAAGTTAACTACCACTGGAAATTGACACCAAACCCTGAGATTGCTAAGTTATTAGCCACAACAGTGGATAGAGTTACGCCCGCACAAAATTTGGAGGTCAACCACGCGAACGACCTAAGCTGCTCTCTCCGGTCGTTCCCAGACAATAACTTAGAGTTAGAAAATTCATGGCTTCAGTGTAGTGACGATAGGCTACTAACGGAGTATGTTTATTGGGATAGAAACTACACTATGGTATCTGTGTTACTTAATGAGCAACAAAAACATTTTATCGACCCACTATGTCCCACTTTGCACATAGCTTTGTCCAAACCCACGACTGCAGCGTGGAGTGAGGCCTCTGTCCTTATTAATAAGTGTAGCAATGCTGGGGACTGGACACAGGTCCAAGATGAGGACACATGGTTCTCTGAAAATGCTAACGCCTGGAGAAGTCCTTTTAAGTCTTCTCTCGCAGCAAGCCGACATGTGTGTTTTGATCATGACAGCATGACTTCAGTCCCACAGGGGACAGAGCTCATGCTGTCAGCAGCGGATGCAGAGGCCACGCCTGCACTTCGCGCGGTCCCAGAGGGACTGTGGGCAAAAGGCCCAACCGACGTGGGCCTCATCAAAAATTGTGAGCCGGTTATAATTGTGCCTAAATCTGATTTCCGTCCGTGCAGGAAGCAGTATCCCTTGCGTGAGGAGGCTATCAGGGGAATTACACCAGTCTTCGAAGCGCTACGGGAGAATGGTGTAATCGTCCCTTGCAAGTCCGGGGGTGTTTGCAGCCCCATCCTCCCAGTTAAAAAACACACTGATCCAGGAGCGCCTGAAAAGTGGCGGTTTACTAATGATCTTAAAGCTGTAAATGATGCTGTGGCTCCCATGGTGGCAGTGG